AGAAAGAAAGAAAGAAAGAAAGAAAGAAAGAAAGAAAGAAAGAAAGACTAACGTGGTGATACACGCTTGCATTGAGCCAGCCAGACTAGTCTACTTGGCAAATTCTATCCAAGTGAGAGATATGTCTCAAGAAAAAAAAGGGGGGTGGTTTAGGTTGTGCCTGGGAACACCCGAGTTTTCCCTCTGACCTCTATATGCAAGCACACAATGTGAACATACATAAATACAAACATACATGTGAACACACACACACAAGCACATGCATGAACCTGTTACCATGGTATCTGAGATAGCCTGAACTTCTTTCTAGGCCCAGGTAACTCGTATTTTGCTCTTGAAAAAAACTTTTTCCTATTCCCTCGGAGATAAAAACAGTGTTTTAATGTTAACAAGTGCTAACAGGCACCAGGCTCTCTTCAGGGCATTTGGGAACCATGAGTGAGCAAAACAGACATTTCAGTTGAATATATTCAAATAATACTCATGGCATTTTTCTAATGGTGAAAACTGAAAAAGAAAAACTTACACTTGAGCCTCCCAGAGGAAAAGCTGAAGGGGAAAAACAACAAACAAGAGAGGGCCCATCAGGCTGCCAGTGTGTGAGAAGTGAACACGAGACCCTGAAAGAGGAGCCAAAGCTCCTCAGACCGAAAAGTGGGGGAAGGGAGCAGGGGCCCGACGGCCACTGTGGTAGACACAACTCATTCTCTAAGCAAAGATATACTCTAGACAGAAGAGAGGTAAACCTGAATGCCACAGCTCTCCAACCTTCTTTCTAGCCACTGGAATGGCAAGTTTTAACTCTGGGAGAGATTTGTCTTCAAGATCTTACCTCTCAGTTATACACAGATAGACATGCTTAAGTCAAGCAGCAAAACCCAAAAGGGACAAACACAGACTCAGAGGTCAAACAGGAAGACTCCATCTTGGTTCTGCTGCTAAAGTTTAGGGAGTCTTGGACAGGCCACTCAACATCTGGAAACATGGGTGTCTCTTATACCCAGAAATTCCTGGACTGCTGACTGGGTTAGCTCAGTTCTCTCTCTTCGGCTCTCTCTGTCTCTCTCTGTTCCTCTCCTCCATGTTCTTCCCTCCCCACTTCTGCTTCACAGTGCACACTTATGTATAATATGATCTGTACAATGATGTGTGGTTATGTACATAAATATATAAGGCTGAGAGTATATCAGAGGATGTGGAAAGAAGTGAGCCTTGTACATAAAATGTTTGTTTTGGGGAGACAAAGAAGATGTGGGAGGCAGTAAATTGGGACTTGTGTGTCTTCTTCTGTGCATTTCTGTGAAGTCAATGTTTTTATGACTACCCCTATTCGTTCATAAGGAACAGATCAAGACCTAACACATCTATTACAGCGTGTGAAACAATGACTCCTAAGTGTTTATGGAAAAGTGTTTATTAATTCTTCTGAGCATTTTAATGCTGGAGAAACAAAATAAGAAACATAACGTTGAGAAGGGGGATGGAGATATGACTGAGAATACAACATGAGTTTTCAGAAGTGTTGGCAAATTTCAATCCCTTATGTATATGTTAGATACTTGAGTACTTACGCTACCATTTTTCTTAAATCTCTCTCTCTCTCTCTCTCTCTCTCTCTCTCTCTCTCTCTCCCCCTCCTTCCCTCTTTTCCCCTCTCCCTCTCTTCTACTCTCGTTCCTACCTATATTTGATATATCTCATAATAAAACCAGGAAAAGCTGGGCAGTATTCACTCGTATATCTTAACCTTATTTCTTTCTCTAGGTAGATTTTCACTGAGTCGAACGCTCGTGTTCTCTGGCGTACCTTTTCTGTTCCTCGACAGCTTTCTGGACAATCTCTCTTTCTTCTTCCCTGGCTTTCTTCACTGCCTCTAACTTCTCCCTGTGGCACTCCATCATGAGCCTCTGGATTCGATGGACCATGCGTTGTTCTGCGGCGGAGTGCTCTCTTTTCAGCTCCTCATCCATGTTTTGAAACATCTGTATCTTGGCTTTTTCTTCTACAGCCTTAAAGAAAAGGAATGGCAAATTTGACATAGATATTACAGGATTGATGACTTAAAATGAATACTGGAGGATCACATTGAAAGGCTGTATGCGAAATGCGAAGAGGTTAGAGGGGTATGGTTAAAGTTTTTCAGCCACTTTTCTTTTCTTTTTCAGTGCTGGCCACACCTGGGGTCTCACGGATGCTAAGCTACCATTGGGCTCCAGCTCTAGCTCCAGCTACGTGATTTTATTGATTGTCACAGTATCAAGATACATAGAAATATGAGATGTGACACTGGAAGATGGCATAAAGAAACACCATGACGGGAGCCTGAGGCCCAGGCAGGAAACAGGCACAGCACACGGCCACAGGAGCCTGCCTTCCAGTCCCCTCCGCCGCTCCACATCCCTCATCAGTCAAGGGTTGCTACCCTTCCTCCTTCATGGAGGCCACAGGAGCTCCGTTGTTCTAGGGTAGGGGGACCTGTGGAGTATTCTCCACCAATTACAGAAAGATTAATAGTCAAAGCATTATTGTGAAGAAGTCTCACAAAAGGACCTGAAAGAAAAGCCTTTCAGCATTTTGGAAATGCCTACTAACTCCATGGGGCGCCAGCACTCTGCTGGGGCCTGAGCAGGGATTATCCTATGGCTGGGCTGGAAGAACGGAGCAGAGCTCCCTTTCCTATTGGTCATGTGGGTACAAGGACAGTCCGTTGGACCTCATTTGGTCCACAACTAGTATACGCTAAGTGCTGCTTGGAGAAACAATGAATGCGTGGCCATCTCCTCAGCCGCTCGTCCATCACATCATTAGGCTCCCTGTCACTCTCTTGCAGCCTCTGCCCACGTAGCACACACACATGGTCCTCCTCTGTCTCCTCCTCGGCAAATGCGAAGAAAGTTCTGTATTCCGGTCCTTTGAACCGGAATTTTGGGACAGAGATAGAGAACTAAGCAGTGAATCTCTGCGCTGGGAACGCTGATGAGCTTGCAAGCTAGGAAGCTCCTCTCAGCCAGCCTCACTATCTAACCACGGAAGAACGGATAAGGAAAATGCGGTAGCATACACAGTGGAGTTGGTTGTTGGCTTGTTTTCTTCAGGAAAATGGATGCAACTAGAGGTAATTGTGAATTAAGCCAGTCTCAGAAAGAAATCTCATTCCTCTTCTCGTATGTGGTTCCTAGATTTTATATTGATACATAAAATCCTGTATGGATATATGATATAAAAGTGGAAGTAAAACTGCCCAGAGAAGCAAAGGCAATTATTGGGCAGGGTGAAAATGGGGAAGGAAGGCCTGAGGTGACAGTCCCAACATACAATATATACTTGGAAGTATACATATGGTATATACATACATACATACACATATATATATAATTATGTTGTACATTGTCTTGTACAATGAATACATATCACAGTGAAAATTTAAAACAACAACAAAAAAAGAGGTCCCCTTATCTTGTGACCATTGGTCTACTAGGATTACTTCAGGGACAGCAAATATGTCTCTCTTGGCAGTTCAGAAAAAGCAAATTTAGGCAAAAAGATGTAAGCAAGAAGCCCAGAAGAAGGGAAGCGACAGCTTGCTAAGTCCCAGCACAGAACTGGATACCAGGGCTTGCATAACAACAAGACAGACTGCCCATATGTAGGTTGCGGTCATGCCAGGGAACCAAACACTAAACAGCTAGTTCCATAAAACGGCTAGTTATTTAATTACAATGGTGATCCGGGCTATGAAAGGGCTACCACAGAACCTTGTGTCTTGTGGATCACCAGGTTCCCTCCCAAGCTTTATGAAATACTAATCTGAACTTTACTAATTACTGCTCCACCTCTTCACCCCGTCAACTAACATAAGCACCTTTTCTTTACTAAATGCTTCGAAAAAAAACAATGAGCAAATTATTGCATACAAAACCTTTAAGTCTCTTTTATGTTGCTCTTCCAGTACCCGAATTTCAAACGCGTGTCTGGCTTGGGCATCCTGGAGTGCCTTGTCCACTGCTTGTTCCTGAAGTTCTTTAGCCTTTGAAAGAAAAGGTTCAATTATCTATTATTATTTCAGGGAAGACACAGAAAAGCTGCTCATTATTGAAGAAATTGGCAAGTTAGGTGTCCGTGCTCAGTGAAAAGTAGCAGCCACCATGGGGTCCCTAATTACACCGTTCTTATTCCCACATCCCACAGAGCTCTGGCTGCCTTAGCTAGACGCACATGACACACCGAGCCCTGGGTAACCTTTGCTGTCTTTTGAATTATTAAAGGCGGGGCAGCTGCACACACGTGTGTGTGTGTGTGTGGTGAACATACATATGTATATGAATATATGTATATGTATGTGAGTATATGTATGTGGTTGAGTATGTTAACCTAGGAAACACAAGGAAGGGAGCCAGCACCCGACGCTAAAAGGCTCTAAGCAGAGAGCATGAATACCATCAAGATCCCCGCATCAGGAGTTAGGAAAGAATATATCTTAGATTATTTGAAGAAAATACTCAGATACTAGCTAAACTTAGATTCAAACTACTGTTTGTTTAGACTGTTCATAAAAGTGTTTCTTTATATCGGGACACATAAGTAATTGGTGGTCCTTATGGTTTGATTTTTACAACTACTAGATTCTTAGTGTTATACTTTATCTAGCCCCAAAGAACTTTAATTCTTGTCAGAGAGCCGTTTATCTCGATTCATTTATGACTGGAAGAACTGAGGTGGTGGGTTTGAGGTTTTTCCAACCATGAGTAAAGTAGTTCTTCCTTCAGTCCTCAAACGGTCCCACGGCACTAAGCAGCCATGCACACAATGCATGAGGACTTGGGCTTTTGTTTTATTGGCTTGTTTAATTCATGTGGGCTCCTTCTTAGATTTCCCAGGCCAGCCGTGGTCTTGCCAGCCTCCTCCTGCCCAGGCCTCCTGTGTAGCTGAGTCTGTAGGAATGCCCGCTGGTGACTAGAAGCACCAAGGACTTTAGAGACAGTAGATAGGGAAAGTCAGTCAAGATAAGGCATTAGAAGGATTACACACTGCAACAGATGAACAGCCCCATAAATGAATAGAAGACCATAGTGAACAATTTACAATGAAGTTGGCCCTATTCTGTGAAAGTTTCAATCAAACCAGAGTAAGTGGCTGGAGTCCTCCATACGGGGGCAACTTGGACGGAAATTCTTGGCAGGACCTGCTTCTTACTAAGCATCACCTCGTGCCAAGTACATTCCTTCACTGAACTCTCTCAACTATCCTTTGAAATGGGAGTCATTACTACCCCACCCCCACCCCACAGATGAAGCCAAGAATGGAGAGGGCAAAGAACACGCCCGAGAACCCATAGCTGTAAAGACTCTGTGGGCTATCTCTTTGCTTGCTATTCCGAATTTACAGTTTTAGATAAATGCCGAGTGAGGAGCCTGTAGAAATGTGGCTAAGGGTAATGTCTGAGTCCTTTACCTTCTCCCACACTTTAGCTTCTGCTTTTTCAATGCTTTCCTTGAGCACAGCCTCTTGATACTTCTCTTCTTGGTTCAGGATACTTGCCCCAATATCTGTGTATTTGGACAAACATCATTACAGGTCCCTGGGGACTGGTTCCTGGCTTTCCTCTCTATCATCAGCTAATATTGATGCGAGCCATCTAGGGACACCTCCCATTAGGTGATGCCACTCATTTGAATTACTTTCGGCACTAAGAACTGAACCCATCGCGCTCAGCGTGCTTCTGCCCGCTCAGCCGTCTCCCCAGCTCACACTCTTGTCTTTGAAGGTGCTCTCTGGAAGGGTAAGTTTTCCACTCACTGATTAAGTGGGAATCCATCCCTTAGGCCTGAATCACTCATTTTCATACATCCTCTCTAAACCATAGACAATGAAAAGTAAATGCCCTGCAAGGTGTGGCACACTCAAAGCAGAATGTGAATTCACAAGGCATTGGCACACTATCCACCTCTCGCCTCGCTTCTGACAGGGCATTTTTCTTTAATACATCACGCATGTGCCTTTCATTAGCGCTGGCCATTCCAACTCCGTCAGTTGTGGAGTGAGCTAAGTGTCCAGTCTATTACTACTCTGTCAGTGATCTAATTTGACTTCCACATAACAACATCGCACAATAACTTCTCCACTTAAAGTGTAACTCCAGAGAAGGTAGAGAGATGCACAAAATCAGGTAGGAGGGGACAATTCTGGACCCGGAGCTAAGAACTGGATCCTTTGGTCTGGTCTCAGGGTATGTACATCTTACCTGAGATGGCCCTTAACACAGTTATAGTCCCTAGCATGTCAATTCCCATGGTAAGATGTGGCGGATATGTGTATTTGCTCAACATCTCCTGTCATGGTAACAGGTCCCACTTCTCTCAAGAACGCCCTCAAGTGGTGTGGTAAGGTTGTCTATAAGCACCATCCAGATCTTCTTGGCCTTTCTTTCTTATAGAAGCTGATCTGGAACAGGGTACATAGTCAAGCCTGACCAGCCACACTCTTTCCTAGTTTGCTCGCATAAGGATGTAAAGAGGAAATAGCTTCTTTTCCTCTGAGATTTCTAAACTATGTCTAATGTGTGTTGGAACCATTTGTCTCTCCTAGTCCTTTTCTAGATGCTGAGTGGCCTGGGGCTAATGCATGTTGGAACCTTTTGTGTCCATGTCCTTTTCTAGATGCTGAGTAGGCCTGACTGCAGCGCCAGCTCGGCCAATTCACTGAGTGTGAGCACAGCAGACTAAAATCTTGATGACAGGGTCCACCATCACAAAATTCCACTTTATGTGTTCTGTTTGACGTTATCTCCATCACCTAGAGATGAAAGATATATTTTGGGGATAGAAGTTTACCACTAGATCATTAATGGGTCTTTTTAAAAATTCATTCTTTTGTTTTTTTTAAGATTTATTTTTATTGCTTTAAATGGTGAGCAGGAGTGTGTATCTGTATGTGAGTATGTTCAGGTATCCCAGGGGCCAGAGACATTGGATTCCCTGGAGCTATAGTTAAAAACCCAGTTGATATGGGTGCTGGAAACTGAAGGTGGGTCCTCTGGAAGAGTGGCAAGTACTCGTAACTGCTGAGACATCTCTCCAGTGCGCCCCCTCCAATGAATGAGTCTTAAAATATAAAGCAGTAAATATTGTGGTAGAGGTGGATGCATAAAATCTCAATATTGTGTAAATTCATCACATTCATAAAAACGTAACACAAATATAGGGTGGTGTTATCCTTTTTTATTTTGTTTTTTAAAGAAGAAAACAATCATTTTTCATTTTACATACCAATCCCAGTTCCCAACTCCCTCCCCTCCTTCCATTCCCTCTACCTTCTCCCCCGAAACTCCATCCACTCCTCAGAGAGGGTAAGGCACATTACTTTGGGGATGGTCTAAGGCCCTCCCTACTAAATCCAGGCTGAACAAGATATCCCTCCAAAGAGAATGGGCTCCAGAAAGCCAGTACAAGCAGTAGGAATAAACCCTGGTGGCACTGCAGTGGCCCCACAGTCTGCCCCAGCCATTGGCATTATCCCTTGTAATGTTTAAATATTGGATTTGTTGTTCTCAGCCTTAACTTCAGAAGACATCTACAGAACTTTTTGAAAACCTACATGCTGTGAAAGGAGACACTTGATGTGGGATGTCCTTCTATATACGTGGGACTTTTATTGGATAATGAAGAAAGCTGTTTTGGCCAATTGCTTAGCAGAGTAAAGCCAGGTGAGATATAGAGAGAGAGGAGGTGGAGTTAGCAAGATTCCATGTAGCTGCCGAAGGAGATAGATGCTTACTGGTAGGCCACAGTCTTGTGGTGATACACAGATTGATAGGAATGGGTTAATTTAAGATGTAAGAGCTATCTAGAAATACACCTGAGACATCAGTCAAACAGTACTGTAATTAAGTAATATAGTTTCTGTGTGATTACTCAGGTCTGGGGCAGTCTCCATTTACAGACACTAACAATAAAAACAACCTCAATGAGTCTAAAAACCATGGTGCAGATAAAAACAGCTACATATTATATGATTTTGTTTTGTCGCATTCTCGTGTGATAAAATTACAAAGACAGAGAACTAGATTAATGGCTGCCAGAATTGTGGAAGCTATGACTGGCTGCTAATAATGGACAGGGTGAAGAGGTCTTCATGAATATACGTGTGATAATTTCATAAAACTCCACTTGTAAGGGGAGTGTTTGGTAAGGGGTGCACCTGAGATGAGAGCACTGCTCTTATTGTGCTAAATTCCCAGTTGTGACAATGTATCAAGATTACAAAACTAACTGGAAAAGCTGGGGCCCATGGGAATGCTTTGATCCCTTTTGCAATCCATGAATCAAACTATTCCAAAACAAAGAGTGTTTTAAAGACAGAAGAAAAAATGTACATGATGAGGCCTGACCCTGGAGACTGTGACAGCAGAGAACCACAGCCCTGTGAAATACTCTTGGATGGATACTTCAAGGTTCTGTTGAGTTTACTTATAAAGAAGGCAGAATTTTAGCTCTCTTTTGACTTATAATAATTTAATGACAAACACAGGCAAGTGAATATAAAATACTGATTTCTACATATATTTATCTGCCCAGGGTTTAGATTCATATATCCTATAAAGTATAAGGAATAACTAAAGTATATCAAAAATCATTAAGTAATGGAGATAACATTGTCTTAGGTCTAAAAATTATTTTAGAGATTACAATTAATAATCCATACCAAAAATTTACGAAACATTAAAATCAGTTTGGGAGCTGATGCTTTAGAAGATTTTATAATTCTATTTCCCCTGCCTTTTAGTTCAACTCTCTAATTTCTCTTTTAGTAAATTAGGAGTGAAATCAAGTAACCACTAGCTTACCACATCCATGGTAAAGAAGACAGGGAAAAATAATTGAAGAATCCTTAGAAAATATGCATAAATTCCAGGATTAGACTAAAATTTTTCTGGGTGTAAGTGAGAAATGGAACTATAGATTATAATTCATTAGCTCATATACTATATTCATATATGTATGTGTGATAAATATTCCTATGCTGTTTATATGTATCTGCTTTTGTCACTAGCTACAAAGTAAAGACTAAGTTTTTTCCACTCATTTATTGGGGTATTTAGATATTTTCTCTCCTGCATGTATGAAAAGTCCCCAGGTACAGGCAAATTGGAAAGAACATACATTTACTATGATGTTTCAGATGTTAAACAGGTACATTTCAAAACTTCAAAACAATTTAAAAGATGTATATTAATGTCTTATTCACAATAAGAGACCTATTGAGAAGCCAAAAACTCTTTGCCATGCACAAAACTATTAAGTAGAACAGCTATATTCCGACACATTATCATTTCATGATGAAACTTCAAACAGGACAGAGCTGAGAAGAAAAGCGCATATGCTGTTCTATGCTATAACAAATAAAAATAATAAAATCACTGCCAGACATGGTGGTGTGCACACCTCTAATCCCAGCACTTGGGAGGCAGAGGCAGATGGATCTCTATGAGTTCGAGGCCAGCCTGGTCTATAAAGTGAGTTCCAGGATAGCCAGACTTATGGAGAGAAACCTTCTCCCAAAGATCACCACTCCCACCCACCACCATCCCCCAAAAGAGTAAAATCACTTACCCAGTATGTCTTTGTGAGTGTAAAAGCGTGTCTTAAAGGGCTTGTATTCATGGATCCGTTGGAAGGTTTCTTTCAAAGGGGCTGGTGGGATTATTTTATTGCAAACAGCACAGCAAACAAAATTATTATAATCGTGATTCCTGATCATAGTTAAATTTCTGATTCTTTTTACCTCTTACAGTTAAAATAAAATCAGGATCAGAAAAAAAAGGTAGTTTTCTCTTGAAACTACAAGTCTAAGAAAGCTGAAAGAGGGCCAGGGTTTTATGGTTCTGCTAGAGGCTGGCAAGGACTAAACAAATCTTCATGACTAGGCAGTGGCAATATGTCTAAGCAATGATATCCGGAGCCTCTGCCATACAAGATGTAAACACTGGATTTGGGAAGAGATAAGCAGTTTCTCCCTCCCAGTGTCCAGCATTAAGTTGTCAACTTACTCAACAACTGTTGCTAGGGAGGACAAGCTTTGCTCATAAAAGCAACTTGAAATCATGACTATTGAGAGCAGAAGTAGCTGCCGTCCATTTCCCTGACTTTCCTCTTGCTGCTGTAACAAGTGAGCACGATCCTCCTGACTTACCTATAAAACAAATTTATCCTATTGAATGTCTGGAGATCAGAATCCAAGATGATTTTAGGGGTAAAATGAAGACGTAGAGGCTTTGGGGAGACTCGGTTTCCTGTACTTTCCAGCTTTAACAGCCGTACATCTTCCTAAGACTCACGGCCTCTGCTTCTGTGGAGGGGCCGCTCTTTCCTCTGATCTTTAGCCTCGCTCTGTGGACCTCGGTGTCTATACCAGGCACCTCCACATCAGCCAGGATGATCCTGTCATCTCAAGGTCCTAAATGTGATCAGAGCCGAAAGATCTGTTACCATCTATTCACAGGGGCCAGAGGTCAGAGGCCAGAGTCAGCTAACCACATTTTAAGTGTGCTTTGGTTAAAGAATTTGTTTTAACTAATGGACAGTGGAGGCAGTCTCCAAAACATTTTCAGGTTGTTATAAATGTGCTTTGGTGGCATGGTAATAAAAGTGGGAGCTACAGTGGAATTCTAACTGAAAATTTACTTTCATTAAGTCTGTATTCAAAATTACCGAGCCTGGTTTTCAGACTTGGGAGGGCGTCCTAGTTACTTTCCAATTGCTGTGATAAAACACCATGACTAAGGGAACTTATCATTTGGCTTTTGGCTTCAGAGAGTTATGAGTCCATGGTGGTGGAATAAAGACATGTCGGCACGAACAACTGAGAACTCACATCTGAAGTTGCAAGCAGGGGGCAGAGAGGGAGTACTTCTGCGGGTTTTGTTTGTTTAAGACAGGCTTTCACCGCATCACTGTGGCGTGCCTGGCTGGAAATCGATTTGTAGGCCAGGCTGGTCTTACGCCTGCCACCACCCTCTAACCCGGTAATTGAAGGCACATCCTACAACACCCAGCTAATCCTGGCTTTTCAACATCATAAGTAATTTGTTCCTATCATTTTTAAACAAACATCCATTCTGCTGATTATATGAAGCTACTAAAACTGTTTTCATTTGTGTGACAGTGCCACATACAGCGTTCCCAGAAAGACTGGTGTTATTAAGAAACCAAACCTTCGTAGAGATGAATTTCAGCACATAACTCCTAGAGGACCTTGGGCTAAGCACCTCACAAAAGTGGCCAGGTAATTCCTTCATGCATCATGGTTTTTATTGACTCTTATGGTCTAATATCTGTCTGAAGGACTTAAATAACTCTATCAAATGGTGTCAGAGCAATGACACAAGAAACTGGTTAGTCAGATTTGGGAGGCGTTAAGAAAAGAGATAGATTCTATGTGAAGGTGGAGACTACTGAATCAGTACAGTTAGAGTCTGGATAGAGCATGAAGAGGCCTCTGTCAATGTGACTCTCCTATCTATTCCTGGATTCTTTTCCAAAAGTGGGGTTAAGAAACTGCTCTCGGTTTGCCTGGAGCTGTCTTCGTTCTAAAACTTTCCATGTTTTTTAATTTCAGTTCTACATCACATGAACACCTTCAGTGCCCAGCAAACTGAAAGAATTGGTCTCTATAGAAGATAATACATGAAACCAATAAGCAAGTGTTTACTTGAAGAAATTCTCTTACCAGAGGCTTCTGACGTCATGGATCATAGAGGTCAACCTACTACTGCCATTTTAGTGCATCAGTATAATTACTGTTTTGTAAATACTTCCCCTTATTCCCACAGGTAAGTGTAACCATCTTCCCTCATCAATGAAGCTTGAAGTAGACAGATGTCATTAAAGAAAACTGAAATTGGTTAAAAGGAAGAGAACAACTGAGCATGGGGTAGCCAGACCCAGGAGTTACATCTACAACAGAGCTCTTAGAACAACTGATCATGGGGTACCTGGCCCCAGGGGTTACATCTACAATACAACTCTTAGAACAACTGATCATGGGGTACCCAGCCCCACTGGTTACATCTACAACACAACTCTTGTACCGAGAGGAATTCCTGATGAGGGACCATCAAGAGGGGTGGGGTGGAAAAGCTGCAAGAGCCATAGGACCAGGAATTCTGTGAGATTGTATCTTCTAGAAATTACAGGGAAGCTTAACCCATGATACCTCAGCAATATAACTGCCTAAAGAAGACCTGAACCATACCAATAGACACGCTATTGTGGGAGGGGAAAGTTCACAAGGTCCCACCCTAGACACAGACCTATAGGCAAACAAGGATTGCTGAGAGAGAGAATTCATAATCTTAAATTAAAAATAAAGGGAAAAAGAAATTCATTAGAGTAGAGTGTGACAGATGATTTTTAACAACAACACTTGGGAGGCAGAGGACAGTGGATCTCTAGAAGCTTGAGACCAGCCTTGTCCACATAACAAGTTCCAGATCGATCAGGCTATCAGGGTTATACAGTGAAAACTGTCTTTTAAAGAAATGGAAGCAAATTCTTTTCAAAAAGTATATTTTGCTGCTGTGAGACAATGGTCTTTTATCCTGTCACTTGTATTATTTTTAATAAAATGCTGATTGGCCAGTAGCCAGGCAGGAAGTATAGGTGGGGCGACAGCAACCAGGCAAGAAATAGAGGCGTGGCAACGAGAATTATGGGAAGAGAAAAGTTTCAGTCTGCAGTCGTTACCCAGCCACAGAGGAAGCCAGAAACAGAGTAAGCAAGATGTGACTATCTCACTGAAAAAGGTACCAAGCCACATGGTTAACACAGACAAGAATTATGGGCTAATGTAAGTTATAAGAATTAATTAATAAGAAGCCTGAGCTAATGGATCAATCAGTTTATAATTAATGTAGACTTCTGTGTGATTTCCTTGGGACTAAATGACTGTGGGTGGCATGGCTAACATAGAGGGAACCGGGCAGGATAGAAACTTGAGACAACATTTTGCTTATTAGCTGTGGGTACTCATGCCATGATATACATTTGGAAGTCAAATCACAACTTACAGAAGTCAGTTCTCACCTTCCACCATGTGGGTCTTAGGAACTGAACTCAGGTCATCATGCTTGGAGGCGGGCATCTTTACCAACTGATCCACCTTACTGTTCAAGAAATTCTTGAAAACCATTTCATCAATCAGATAGCTTATTGATTTGGGTGAATAACTCTCCTATCAGAACAAAAATATTCCCATGGACAAAAAAAGTTATTTATGCAGTTGTTGTGCCAAGGACTCAGAGCCTGAGGTAAAAAGACCAATTTAGAGGTCAGCTTGGACTAGTTTACTTATGAATACTTGCTTTGGCACTGTAAATCAGTCAAAAACCCATGGCTAGGGAGGTCATAGGCCCTGGGAAGAACTCACTAGTGTAGTTACGCATGGAGTCAAACTGTATTTTAAATATTTATATTTAGTTCCATAGATACATGCTATGCTCATCCTTCTCTACAGTGAATACAGAGACTCATGGCTGTGCAAGGTGCTAAGAATAAGTTTCAGATGAGGGCTCAGCAAAACACAGAACCTTCATACCTCCTCTCCTAAGGCTCAAGGAACATGGTAGAGGGGGAAATAGCAAGAAAGGAAGACAAGAACGACTGTGTAATATCATCTCTGGGGCATGATACAACAATGGTAAAGATTAGTGTAGGAGGTCCTTCTGTATTTGTGTTGCTTTCATTGGTTAATAAAGAAACTGCTTTTGGCCTGGTGATAGGGCAGAACTTAAGTAGGCGGGGAGATAGGACTGAATTCTAAGAGGAAGAAAGCAGAGTCAGACAGAGAGCCACCATGGAACTTCCAGGTCAGACATGCTGAACCTTTCCTGGTAAGCCACAATCTCATGGTGACATACAGATTATTAGAAATGGGTTAAATCAAGACATAAGAATTAGCCAATAAGATGCTAGAACTAATGGACCAGGCAGTGTTTAAATGAACACAGTTTCTGTGTGATTATTTCTGGTGTAAGCTAGCTGGGCAGCCAGGACAAACAAGAGGACCCGTTCTCCTTCAACAGAAGATAAATTGGCAATGGAGGCTGCCTGTGGTAGGCCTGCACAGAGCTCTACCTTTCCTGATAAGATATTAGTCGAGGGACTCCTGTGAATTAATAAGCATTGTCTTCGGTTGTGTGCCCAAGAGTGAGCATACTCGGTTCCAATGGCTTGATCTAAAGCTATGGTCAGATGGTTTTGGTTAAAATCAATGGGTCAAAACACACAAAAAGGCATGAACATGGGAAAAGGAACTGTAGGAAGGAAGAGATCATGACAGGGTTGGGAAGGAAATTTAAAAAGGGTGGGTATTAGAGTAAATAAAATGCTAAGAAAAAAAACAAAAAAGATTTGATTAAAGATCTGTCAGTTCCCTCACTCTTTAGGAGATTCCCACTCTGAAAAACTCCTCCTCAACCATGGGAACTCAAATTCCTACCTTACCCTAGCCACTCCTTCTTCCACACAATTGACCACCAAAGTGACATTTAGTGAAGTATATCTAATAAATGGTTCGGTTTGATCAGCTGGTAGTTCTGGAGGTCATTGGGAGGATTTGGAAGTTAACATTATTTCAAAATATATGAATGTTTCTGTACTTAATTCCTGAACATTTTATGTTTACATGCTAATGTGGCTACTTGGTTATTAACATGAACATTGCACTTGAAGGAAACCATACTTTGATGAAAAGATCCCTACATCTAGGTGCAAGGAGGTCCAGTCTTCTCCCTGACTCAGAATCACTGTGACCTGAGTAAATCTTTTAACTATTATTAGCTGTTTAACTAACTATAAGATGACAGGATTAGAACAAGCAAATTTCAAAATACTATGACTATTTCAAAGGATACTTGTTTTATTTTATTCTTGCTGGTTATGCCCTAAGTCAATAAACAATGGCTGAAAATATGAATACTTAGCCAGGACATGTTTGAAACTTTGCATATATAAAGACTGATATAACCTGTAACACTTTGTAGAAATTAGTATAACTGGGCATTTGCTTCTAAAATTCCTAGTGATCCCTCCCTCATGTCACTTCTCACAGCTCTGGGCTTGACTATACTTCTTTCATGATTCCTTTACACAGATACTGTAAGGTTGAAGGCTGCATGCTGTACCGCTTTTACAGTCCTTCTGTACAGCAGGAATCTCAGGTAGTTTATCCAACTAGTATTGCCTCTGACACTATCAATGTGCCTTGTTGAACAATAAAAGAATTCTAGAAGACAGCAATGTACCATTAAGTGCATAAGCTGAAAATAGAACCCTGGATCTATAAAAACAAACAAAAATGCATAGAGATGCCAAGAGTAAAAGATTTAGATTGATAGGCATTTTACAGAACATTTAAGGTGTACTTTAAAACTATGTGGAGTGAGCTAAAATGGAGTAAATACCTACATAGGGCTTGGTAGTAAAGTTTTAACTGAGATCCATGTAGAGGAGCTTAATTAACTACACTTTGTATGTGTGGTGTGTGGGTGTGCACACAGTATTCTTACTCACGCATAGGTAGACATTGGGTGTCTTCTTTTATTGTGTTCCACCTTAGTACTTGAAGCAGGGTCTCTCACTGAGTCTAGAGCTTGCAGTTTCAGCTAGGCTGGCTCACCAGGCGTCTCCAGAATCCACTTTCTCTGACTCCACCCAGACAGTGGTTAACACGCTTGATTTTACACATTAGTGTTGGTGATCAGAACTCCAGTCCTCATACTTAGGCAGCAAGCTCAATGCCCACTGTGCCAGCTTCCCGTGCCCTAGCTAAGCTTCTTTGTATTGATAGATCAGGCATATCTAAATCTTCATGCATCTTACAGGATCACAGTGAAATACTAGACGTTAAAACTAACGTGATGATAACCTCTGTCTCTGTGCTATTATTTGATAAAAACATTGAAGCTAAATTTCAGAGGTGACATATTCTGCTAAGCTCCAGTGATGACTTCAATGGAGTAAATGTCCAGAAAGCAAGCAAATATAGGAGCCCACTAGAAAGGCTTAAAATACCTAAGGTGAAGGTGGTATAGTAAGGGGACTTTATTAATTTTTATTTATTGAGTGATTCTAGTTTTAAAACAATTGGGAATATTTGGTCTTGTGTTTATAAAATCATTGCAACAATTTATATATATATATACCCCTAGGCAGTATTTAATTACAGACACATAAAAACACTGTGGCTAAGTATACCATTTGCTTTGTCTTTTTCTGTGTATGTGTGTATGTTTTCTTATGATGTGTGATGTGTATGAGGGCAAGTGTGTGTGGTGTACGTGTGGAAGGCAGAGAGAAACTTGAGGTGTCAGTCAGTCCTTGTCTCTCTTGTTTCCATTGTGTACGTCATGCTAGCTGGCCCAAGAGCTGCCTCCCCCACCTCGCAGCTCACTGCAGAACACTGAGGTTAAGGACTCACTCTGCTGGGCCTAGCTTTAAACCGATTCTGAGATTCAGAGTCAGGTTCTCTGGCTTCAGTAGCAAGTGCTTTACCTGCTGAACCATCTCCCCAGCCCTAGTATAACATTTCCCCCTTTTATTGAAAGTATTCTTTTCTCATACAATATATCCTGATTGCGGTATCCCCTCCCTCTACTCCTCCCAGTTCCTTCCCATCTCCCTTCCCTTCCAGATCCACTCCTTTTTGTCTCTCACTAGAAAAGAACAGGCTTCTAAGAGATAATGGCAAAATGTGATAAAATAAAATATAAAACAAAAACCATCACATTGAAGTTGGAGAAGGCAATCCAGCAGAAGGACGGAAAAGAGCCCCCAAGAGCAAGCACAAGAATCCAAGACCCACTCGTTCACATGCTCAGAAATTCCATAAAAATACTAAACTAAAAGATTTAATACATACATGGAGGACCTGTCAGCCCTGTGATTGCTGTTTCACATATGAACTTAAGGTTCATGTGCTTGGCTCAGCTGATGCGCTCCTCTGTCCTCCCCACTTCTGGCTGTTACATACCTTCTGCCTCCTCTTCCTTGGGGTTCCCTGAGAGTCTATGGGAGAGATTTGATAGAGACATTCCATGAAGAGCTATGTGTTCTAATTAGGTACACACCTTTAATCCCTGCACTTGAGAGACAGAAGCAGGCAGATATCTATGAGTTCAAGGCCAGCCTGTTCTATGAAGAGTTCCAGGACAGCCAGGGCTACACAGAGAAATCCTGTCTTGAAAAATAAAAGGGAAAAGAAAAAGAAAAATGAAAAAAATAGAGGTGTGTTCCAAGGTCTGTCTGTCTGTCTGTCTGTCTGTCTGTCTCTCTCTCTCTCTCTCTCTCTCTCTCTCTCTCTCTCTCTCTCCTCTCCCCTCTCTCCTCTCTTCTCTCTGCTTAGTGTCTGGCTGTGAGTCTCTGTATTTGCTATCTGCTGCAGGATGAAGCTGTTCTGCTGATGTCTAAATAAGGCACTGATCTTTGAGTATAGCAGAATGTCTTTAGAAGTTCTTTTTTTGGTACTTTTTTAAAAAGACCAACAGAATTTTCTTTTACCCAAGGTCTCTGGGATACCTAGTCCCTAGTTCTTGGTCACCTAAGCAGTGTCACATATGGGTTCCATCTCCTGAAGAGGGCCTTAAGTCAAACTAAAGTTGTGAGGGTATTGTCTTCAGCAATAGGGCCTTGCTGTCAGTTTATGGAGAGCAACCTATAATCTTAGCAACAAAAGCTTGGGTTGTTTGGGAATTTCCATAAGACCCCTTTGGCCAACAACTCAATTGGATGTAACCCAGTCCCTATACTGGAAGCTTCATTTGGTGACAAGATGTGGTCAGTTGGGACTCCATCTCCCCCATTATTTAGAGACCTCATTAGGATCTCCTTCATATATTTTAGAGAGTTTCCACTGCACTAGGTTTCCATACCACCCTCAATTGTAGCTGTCTCTCCCTACAGAGCCCCCACCTCACCTGATCCTTTCATTCCCCTGTATACACCCATAGTCTACCCATAAAATCTACTCTATCTCTCCCTCCCAGGGAGATCCATGTGTTCTCTCTATATACCTGACCTTTATACCTGATCTCTCTGGTTATGGATTATATATTGGTTATTTACTTAATGATTAATATTCACATATAAGCAAATACATACCATGTTTGTCTTCTGGGTCTGGGTTACCTCACTCAGGATGACCTTTTCTAGTTCCATCCATTCGCCTACAAATTTCACGATGTCATTTTTAAACAGCTGAGTAATACTCCGTTGTGTTGATGTACCACATTTTCTTTATCCATTCTTCTGATGAAAGACATCTGGGTTGTTTCCAATTTCTGGTTATTATGAATAGAGCAGCAATGAACATGGTTAAGCAAGTGTCTCTGTAGTAGGATGTAGAGTCCTTTGGGTATACACCCAAGAGTGGTATAGCTGGGCCTTGAGGTAAACAGATTCCCATCATTCTGAGGAACCACCATATAGATTTCCATAGTGGCTGTACATGTTTGTAATCCCACCAGCAAACCAGATAAGTGTTCCTCTTCTCCACATCCTCACCAGTATGAGCTATCAACTTTGTTATAGGTCTTAGCCATTCTGACAGGTGTCAACATGGAATCTCAAAGTAGTTTAAATTTGCATTTTCCTGATGGTTAAGGATGTTGAACATTTCTTTAAGTATTTCTCAGCCATTTGAGATTCCTCTACTGAGAATTCTGTTTAGATCTGTACCCTCATTTTTAAATTAGATTATTGGTTTCTAATATCTAGTTTCTTGGGTTCTTTATATATTTTGGATATTAGTCCTACATCAGATGTGGAGTTGGTAGAAATTTTTTCCCATTCTGAAGGCTGCTGCTTTGTCTGAATGGTGATGTCCTTTGCCTTACAGAAGCTTTACAGTTTCATAGGGTCAATTATTTATTAATTGTAGATCTTGGTACCTGCACTAATAGTGTTCTGTTTAGAAAGTCATCTCCTGAGCCAATGCATTCAAGGTTATTCCCCACTTTCTCTTCTATTGGGTTCAGTATAACATTTTAAAAATATTATACTTCAATTACTTTGCTTTATTGTTTCATTTAATCATGATTTTAGTAGTGCAAAGGGATATCTTCTCTATTAAACAGCAAAACATTGCTGGAAAGGCACAATTCACTTTAAAACATGAGAAACTCCATGCAAATTTAACAGGACTGGGTACTTTTATTATACAGAATTGAACAAAAAAGATTCCCATTCTTATGGCATTTTCACAGAAGAAATATTGAGACACTCGTTTGTGGGAAGGGAAAGGGCTAACAGCTGCAGCTGTAACAGGACTATATTTACCACAGCGGACTGCTTCCAACTGTGTATTCTCTCTTGTTAACAGATTATGGATCAAGAAACATAATTCCATACTCTCAGAGAGTTTTTCATTTAAAGATTTCAGAGCCTGCAATAATGTTCCATCTCAAGGAAACAGCACTTAATCCCATTTAGATGTCTTTTTCCTCATGTAGCGATGCCCTTCACTATCAATGGCTTCAGAGAGGTCCTTTTTGTTCTCTTGTGTTGCGTGCAGATAACCAATGTAAGCCACACAAAGTGAAAGGGCTACCAATCCAAAAGCCATTACGGGTTTGTTCTGTTAAAAGAGAGAGAGAGAGAGAGAGAGAGAGGGAGAGAAAGAAAATTACAAAGTTCCAGTGAGACTTGTAATTTCAGGAGCGCCAACTACCACACTGCACTTAACTCTTGGCATGACAGGTCATTATTATCACCCCAGCTTCCTAAAGACAGCATTTTCATTCCAATCATTTGATCCTATCAGCTTAACTCTGAGTATTTACAGTTGATTTGAGACTCTTGCTTTTCATCTCACTCTTCTCTTTGTAGCCAGGTAGCTTAGACCTGTGCCCTAGGAAAGCAAAAGCCGAGCAAAGAGGGAGGCGTGGACACAGTTCTCTGAGCTGTAACTTAGCTTATTTTATTAGAACGTGAGGAATACAGCACACATGCTATTTCTCTTGCCCAACACAAGAGTAACGGTCAGAAAAACCTTCGTAACTTAATGTACAGCAACGAAAACATAGATGCTTGACTTTGAGAACATACTCTATCCAAGAAATTTAGTAGTTGAAACAGATACTATGCTTTTTAGTTACCTTGGGGTATTGCTGGAGAGCCAAAGACTCTAAAAATCAAAGTGATATAGCTTTGAGTTAAAGGGGTGGGGTTTCCAGAGAAGTGCCTCTCTACTCTTTGCAATCCTGTTAATATATAAAGCAGATGTGCCCACCTTTGTACATGTTCATACTTAATAAATGGGCTTTTCCTTGGGTAGTGTACATACATAGTAGTAATACAAATAGGAGTAGTTTCTGCTTCTGCCTCTATTGCTGTGGGAACTCCTGGCCCACTTTGGGCGTGGTCTGGGGGTACTATAAAACAGATGTAGAAACGTGTGTGTGTGTGTGTGTGTGTGTGTGTGTGTGTGTGCCTGCACGTGTGCCTGCACTGGATTCAGTTCCTGTTCCCCACTCGTGCAGAGGACTGTTGATCTATGGGTCTACTCCTAAATAAAGAGTCCTTTATTATACTCAGTTCTGAGCTAGTGTGGGACTACGTTATCATGATCCTCTACACGCCGTGTCTACTTTAGTAATTCCCCGTGCCTGTTGTGGACTATTTGTGCACTGTGTGAAGATCCATTCCTATGGTTGATTTACTAAAAGAGCTGAACAGGAAGCAGGAGAGCTATTCAAGGTGGAGAGTAGATGTCAGCGAGACACGGAAGGAGTCAGACATACAGAATGAAAGAAAGGTAAACAGCCACATGGTAAAACATAGATTAATAAAACCAGGTTAATTTCTTATAAGAGCCAGTTAGAAACAAGCCTAAGCTAAGACTGGGCTTTCATAATTAATAATACATCTCTGTATCGTCATTTGAGGACTGGCTGGCGGGACAGAAAAAGACTCGTTACCCATGCCCATAGAGGATTCATTCCAAGAACCACCTTGAATACCTAAAACCAGAGATTGCCCCAGACCCTCATAGAGTATATACTATGGTTTTCTTGTGACCCTTGTCTATGATAAAGTTTGGTTTATGAGCTAAACACAAGGCACAATTAACAACAATAAAACAGAACAATTATAACAACATATTGCTAAGTAATTGTATGTTCTCTTCCTCTTTAGTCAAAACAAATATTAACATGTGGGGGACATGGCTGGCAGAGGAACTAGACAGAGAAACGCAGAAGGGGAAACCACTGCACTACTAGGTGTCTGAAGCTTAGGCTCAAAATGAGCGGCAAACGTTTTCACTTGGATACACATCTAAGAAAGGCTATGAACTTAGAGCAGTTTAAGACTGCAATTATGAAATGTCTTTAACTATTAAAATTTACAAGACAGCCAAGGATTTTTAAATACTTTAATGCTTTAAGTTGGCCCATTTAAACTTAAAACAATTAACAATGGCAACTATTATTACAATTCTTATCAAGTATGAAGTACTTCAATATTTATCATATCTACATTTTTTATTTTATTTATTTTGTAAGTAGAATTTATATTTAAAAGTAAACACATCAAATGAAATATATTTGCTAGTTTACTGCACCAACAGAAATAATTTAGCTACATACATAACAGTATATAAATGCAGGTTTTGGGGTTTTCTAGATGAAACAGCATTTAAAATTTGTCTTTACCTTCTAAGATAGGGTCTCAGGCTGTAGCCCCAGGCTGGCCTCAAACCTGCTTATCCTTCAACCCTTGTCTCCCAAGGGCTGGGATTAGAGAAATGAGCCACCATGACCATCTTAGGGGCCTTCCTAGTCCGTATAAAACGTCCTGGTAAGGGCTGGAGAGATGGCTCAGTGGTTAAGAGCACTGCTTGTTCTTCCAAAGGTCCTGAGTTCAATTCCCAGCAACCACATGGTGGCTCACAACCATCTGTAATGAGGTCTGGTGCCCTCTTCTGGCCTGTAGGCATACACACAGACAGAATATTGTATACATAATAAATAAATATTTTTTTAAAAATGTCCTGGTAAATCCAGACCCCCCAGCAGAAAAAATAGAGCCAAAAATCTAAGCAGGGAGAGAAGAATCAGAAATCTAGGATTAGCCGGTTCAGTGACTCTGTTTCAGGAACTAGCTGAAGATAAAGTTAGACTGTAATCTTGAGAATAATCTTGAGAAACAGGGAATTACCCCTTTGTGATTATCACTGGTATTTTCGGAATTTTCAAAGCCGCCCTCCCTGCCCCCTTTGGATTACTAGGTTGTGGTTTCTTCCCTTAAAAGCCCCTTCTCCCAGCTACTAGAGGTCGAACTCCTCCTCTGCGTGGGTTATGAGTCTCGGCCCCAGCGCTGGTACCTGTTAATAAGCCTCATGTGATTGCAGCAAGGACGGTCTCTTGTGAGTTACTGGCGGGGGGTAGGGGGGAGGTGGGGGGGTGGGGGGGTGGTCGGGGTCGTGTTATCCCAAGACTTGAGTGACAGTCTCCCCACACTGGGAGTCTTTCAGTCCTGGATACAAACCAATGCTACAGAAAAGTGAACAAGTCTCCTGGATGCAGGTCTTACAGGTTTAATGAAGAGCTCAGGATTCACAGCTCGAAATAAGGTTGTCGTGTGCGTCCCTCGGAGGCCTGGGTTTTCAAAGCTCCTCTCTTTCGGTGGGTCTTTCTTTGCTGTTGGAGGCTCAGGTGCTGAGGACATCTTGATTACTGAAGAATATCACCTAAAAACAATATATATATATATATATATATATATATATATATATATATATATATATAT